AAGCCGGGAAGTGAGCCGGGAAGCAAGCTGAGCTCTTATGACCCTGGGGAGGCGGCTGAAACACTGAGCAGCTGCGGGGAGGAGGGCACGCTTGCCCCAAGCACCGGGCTTTCCCCCAGGATTGCTAATGCCCAGATGGCAGGTGACAGACGCGCCCAAAGCATGGAGCAGGATTTGTCCAGTGGAGGCATGAGCCGGGAGGCCGAGGGACGCCGGGGGATGATCCAGACCCTCAGCGTCACCTCGGACCTGGGGCTAACAATGAAGGCAAGCAACGCGGGGTCAGACTCCTCCTACTCTTTCTCCTCGGTCGCAAGGATCCAGGTGGAGGAGAACTACATCGCCAAGCGGTGGGCGAAGGACGGGGCTGGGAAGCCAGTCCCCGGCCAGGCAAAGTCTATGACTACTATGTCCAGTCCATCTCCCAGTCGGTGTCGAAGAAGAGGTGTCTCCCCTACCTCCCTTTGAGAACATCCTGGCAGCGCAGCTCGGAGCGGGTCAATGAAGAGCTGCAGAGCTTTGCAACCCAGAACCCGGACCCAGCTTCGGCAATACAGGATCCCACCACCTCCTCCATAGTTCCACCACCTACGGGGAGCTTGGAGATCTCCCCTGAGCCACCATCTCCTGGCCGCGAGGACAGCATCCTCCAGATTGCTGACAGCCCCCACCTCCAGCTGCCCACGGAGGGTTTTGGGGTCACGGTGCCAGCTGGCACGCAGCCTGCAAGCCCCCAGCCAGGGCTGGTGGCCAGTGCTGACCTCTTCCAAATGCCACCACCTACCCACCTGGACCTAGGGAACTGCTACGAGGTCCTCTGCACAGCCAAGGCGCAGAAGCTCGGCCACCTCCAGGAGGCCGCCTACAAGCTGATGAGTGACAACTACCTGCAGGTGCTGAGGACACCGTCCATCTACGGCCGCCTCAATGCTGGTGAGCGGGAGCTCATCCTGCGGCAGAGGATGAAGGGGAAAATGTACATGGCCGTGGCGGACATCAACGTGCAGGAGCCCGGCCTCCATACCAGCCGCCTCTGCTACTACGATGACGGAGGGGACTGCTGGCATCACCTCTGCCACGTGCCACCGGAGGTGGTCTCCCGGGGGTGCGCCATGTGCAGCATGTTCAACTACCTCTTCGTGGTGGCCGGCTGCGAGGGCACGGGCCGGACACAGAAACCCTCCAACCGTGTCTTCTCTTATGACCCCCTGACCAACATCTGGAAGGAGATCTGCCCCCTGAACCAAGCACGGCCACACTGCAAGCTCGTGGCCTTGGATGGCCACCTCTACGCCATCGGCGGCGAGTGTCTCTACACAGTGGAGCGCTACGACCCCCGGCAGGACCGCTGGACCTTCACCGCACCCCTGCCCCACGACACCTTCGCCGTGGCCCACACAGCCACGGTGTGCAATGGGGAGATCTACGTGACAGGGGGCACCTTGCGCTACGTGCTGTTGCGTTACGCCGCCCGCTCGGACAGCTGGGGGGTCAGCCCGGCCGGCGGCAGCAAGGACAGAACGGCCGAGATGGTGAGCGCCAATGGCTTCATCTACCGCTTTGACCTCCACCGCAGCATGGGCATCGGCGTCTATCGCTGCAGCGCCAAGGCCAAGCTATGGTATGAGTGTGCTGCCTACACCATGCCCGACCTGTCTGGCTTCCAGTGCGCCGTGGTGGGCAGCCTGGTCCACTGTGTCGGCCGGCACTTCCACATACGTTTCTTGGCCGACCACATCGCACCACGCTTTGGGACGAAGGAGCTGCAGCCCTTCCCATCGCCCCGCGGCAGCCTCCTCCCGGCCGTCCTGGTGTTGCCAGAGGGACGGACAGCACAAACACAGGTTTGAGAGATCCATGCTGGGTTCTTATGCAACAGTAGCGGTGGCTTGGACGTGACATGATGGTGAAAGCTGGTAGAAGAAGCCACCAGCCCATATTGGACCACGTAGCATGGGACCAATGCTACCAGGGCAATGTTACCCATACCTGCCATCAAGCAGGCATCCTCCCAGTCCCCGTAAGTAAGGAAGGAGACAAACTGCCCTTGGATACTGCCAGTAAACCCAACCTTGAAGACACAAGGAAGAGCAGAGCAGGAGCTGGGTGGACTTGTTTGCTTAGAGGTATTTAAACACAGGCGTGCTTGCTCAGATGCAAATAAACCACGGCTCGCTGCAGGCTCCCAGCTGTGCACTGCCCGATAAGTAGCTGCTTTACACAGCGGGTGTTTAATATTGACCTGGACACGCAACACACGGGGGATTTTAGGGTGGAGGAACACAGCAGGGAGGTTTGATCCCTAAGGAGGTATCACCCAAAGGTCAGCCCCATCAGTCTCAAGCCAACATTGAGCCTTCAAGCTTGACCACACACATCACCCCAGGGTTGGAGGGTGGGAGGCCAGAGGGTGCACTGCTCCTACCAGTGCCTTGTTTTCTGTTACCTTATCCTCAGCACAGAATAATATATACATAAATATATATTATATGCACAGGATGTAAATAGGTACTATAGATTCATAGACAGCTGGTCTTAAATGAAATTAAAGTGAACGTTTGGTAAAATTAACCATGGGCAACTGTTGCGCATCATTTCAAGTCGTAGCCAAGCCTAATGGGAACAAAGAGGCCGATGCATGTTTTACATTGTTAATTACTGCACAAGCAACATCTCTGAGGAGGCAACCAAAAGCAAAGCAGGGCCCTGGATATGAGCAGCCAGTCTTTCATCCCCTTTTCCCCAGGTTTCACCGACCTCACTCCGCTGCCTCCGTATCCTGCCAAAAGCCTACTTTGGGTAATTGCATTTTCTTCCCCTCTAGCTGTTAGAGAAACAGCTTGCCATCCGTCATCTGTCAGCCCCAGACGGACGAAAACAGCTCCCAGATGGAAAAAACCCTCCTGTACCTGCCTCCTTGGTGGCAGCAGGTCATGAGGACGAAGTCAGAGATGCGCTTGAAGTGCTTGGAGATCAGAGATGGTGCTGGAGCAGCCCATGGTATCACCATTTACGCCTTGTTGCTCATGGTGGTTTAGGAGAGCTTAGGTTAATGTTCTCTCAAAGTGCTCCCAAAAGTATTTATTACTTCTCTCAGTCACTGCCTGGAGACCTCGTGTTTCTGCCTTCAAGGGCTTCCTACGAAGGTCAGTGGCATCCATCCATGTTAGGAGACCTTGGCAGACTGTGTTAATTAACCCTGCCTCTGAGGTTTGCTCGTTAGCCGTAGCACATTGCTTCTGCTGATGGAGGGTGGATGATGCATCCTCCCCTTCTGCTAAAAGCTGCCATGGTCCAGCCTCTTTCCCCACCCTTGGGGCCACCTCTTCCTGCCCCAGGAGGACCACCCCACCAACGATGTGCCGGGGCTGCAGCCTCCTGCATCCCAGCATCTCTCTCTGCTGGGACGCTTGGGCTGGTGAACCTTATGAATCAAAAAAGCTCCTTATTATCATCATTTTTATTTAACTCTCTGCTATTTAGCTACCTCCATAGCTGGCGCTCAGAGCAGCAAGCTCAGCAAGATGGGCTTATGCATGCAGCAACACATTTCTACTTCTCCCCCAGCAAAACCCAGGTACTGGCTGCTTCACCAGCCCCTTTGCAACCTGCAAAAGCCTCTTGTCCCCATCAGCATCCCGGCTTCACGCCCTTTGGCATCCCTGCCATGGCAGGCTGGGTGCTGGGGAGCAGAGGACGCGCTGGCTGGGTGGGAGCCGGGCAGCTGGAGCCCTTCCAGATGACCGCTTTTTTTTTTCATCCCCAGAAAAGCTTTCCTGGGACCCTGCCCTTCTCATGGTGCCTCTTTGCTTCCGCTTCATATTTCACCTTTCCTTTAACTCCTTGCTGCCAGGCTGCAACCTCAAAACCCAGCAGCTTTTCCTCATTCCCCAGCGTGACGGTGAGCGATGAATAACAACGACCGCGGGTGGGCAGCTCTCCCCCCGCTCCTGCACTCTCCAATATTAACATGATTTGCCTGGGGAGGCATTTTGGAGATTAAAAGCGCTGGGGACATCCCGTGCCGGAGCACTGCTTGTTCTGCAGGGAAGGACAAGCAGGTTTGGAGCAAAAAGCATGCGGCGGTCCTGTGGTTGACGGTGAAATGACTTTTGGCTGCACTTAAGAGAAAGCAAAGGGGAAAGGACAAATGCAAACCGATACTCAGACCTGGATGATTTTTTTTTTTTTTTTTTTTT